GTTCGATCTGGCTTCATCAAAGGTTGAATTAATAGCTTCGTCAACTTCCGCAGCCAACCGGTTTTGGTCCTCGGCGATTAGTTTGGCCGCTTGTTCTTCCACGTGTTCAGAATCGGATGATTCTAAGCCGATCTCTCTCAAGTTTTTGAAGCTGGGAAAGATAAGGGCTGTAAGGCGGTTGTCGCCTTGCGCGATCGGAATATTGTCTGTCACCGAGAACGTCATGTAAGTTGGCTCGTACCGCAGGAGAATATGGGCTGCCCTCCCTTGTTTTCGAAGGTCTGGACGGCCGACGAACTGTAACGCGGTTTTAATTTTTGCGAGCACATCGTCATCATTTGAAACCAACACTCTTTTCAAGTCGCTGCATGCATAAACAAAACGATTAAATGAGCTTAGTGCCGAATACATACATATTTAAATAATAGAAACAAGGTAATCTGATCGGCGACCTGGTTCGCCTTTTCGCCATGGCACAGGGTCTAGGCGATCTTCACCTTCGCTGAATTCCCAATTGTCGCGGACAACGACCATCACGTCGTCGACACGCTTGCCAGAATTGGCAAGCATGGTCACTAAGTGATAATTAGTATCCTTGGCTCTAAGAAACTAGCGTCCTAGCCGGCTGGTAGATTTGGCTAGGACATAATAGTGCCGAATGGTGGGAATACCTAAATTAATTCTAAGACGCCAATTTATCTCTACAATCCCTATTATGAGGAGAAAGAGGTTCATATTGGGCTGGGAAGGGATGAGACCCCAGTACCGAAGAACGGCCCTCAAAAGTGGGTGAAGAGGAAAACGGACGCCGCCCTTAGCAATTGATAGGAGAGGAAGGACGATTGTGCTCTCATCTTCCCTCACCATATCAGTGGTGCTATCTGCCAAAAGTGACAGATGGACGTCGTCGGGGATGGAGAAATGGCATCGAAAGTCGGAGATTCGATCTGCAGAAAGGAGCTCCTTCAGATGTTTTGCCATTTTGGCCAACCCAAGGATTAAGGAAAACTAAAAGTAGATAAAAAAGGGGGATCAAAAAATGAAGGAGAAGAAAACTTACAGGAGACGAAGGAAAGAGCGAGAAACAAGGGGTTGCAGAAGCTGCGGAATGTAGGAGTTGCACTAGAAGGCGAACCAGATATCTTTGAGTATTCATAACATACATTCGAAGAGACAAATTCAAATCACATTAAATGGAGGCAGTGTACGAAGGGGCGGGAAAGCGTTACAATGACCAAAAAGCATGTACGCGTTCGGATACGCATCGGGAAGAGGAGTAACCGTCGAATTTTTAACCTCTAGACTAGAAGCCAAACACACCGACTAAGTGATGCTAGTGGGGTGTTTGGGGGGCAATTGTGGGAGCCGAATAATTTTGGATCAATAGGAGGACCAGTCCGGTCCAGAACATAACCTCTATTCGGCATTGACCCTATTCAATTGAAGGGCCGAATAAAGTAGCCGGCATTTCTACCAGTGAAACAAGGGCCGAGTAGAAGTACATGTAAAGGACTAGGGTTGGGCCGGCCCCAAGGCCCAAAGAGAATACTATAAATACAAGATCTTCAGTTCTAGAAAGGTAGATGAGAACTATTAAGCTTAACTTAGAATACAAGTAATCCTGAGTGCAGAGTCTAACTTGCCCGTCGGAGTGCTAATTCTGGCACCCCCGACCGGAGTGTTTGTTCCTTTTCAGGTTACTAGCAGAGGATCACGAGCGTCCCCCAGGATCAGAAGAGTATTTCCAAACCACATCCCCACACTAACCAATATCAAGATCAAATTCATTGCTTGAATACATGCTTTATCCCATGTCTTGGATTGAATCAAATGCCATGTTAGCAGTGGGGCCTATTAGTTGCATCTTTGCATGCGTTGCATTAGTCATTTTGCATCCGTAGGATCATGCATTTTTTTTTAAACTTTTTTTTGTTTCTTTTGGCTTGCCTTGGAGTACGAGTTGAGGACTTATTGCTTTAGCATACCGCATGCGTGTGATTGTTGCCATATCTAGCATAAATACCATGAGGCTAAGTGCTTAATTGATATAACTGTTTGAATGCCTGTGGATAAAGGCTAACTGCTTAAATTGGGATGATTTGATCAGTGTACATATGAGATCACTTTTTCAAGTGGTACATATTCGAAACAATTTCAAAACAAACATAAAATCAAAGTGTTCCAATTTTTGCAAATTAGTCTATACTTGTGTGTCTCATGGTAATGTTAGCCTAATAACCGGAATAAAAACATATAATGTAAATAAGAATAATATCATGATTAGTAGAGGCCGATCTTTGATAAGGTGAGTGAGGTGCTCAATTCATGACCTTCCCCTCTCATACCTAAGTTCCCGAGCTGAGACACTTTGGTGATGACAAACATGTGGCCTTTAGCACGAGTCATGGGTTTCCTAAATTTTTCAAAAATATTTAGGTGGCGACTCTGTATCTGGAAAACAATCCATTTTTGGCATTTTGATTCAAAATCGATTTTTCAAAAGAATTGTCGGATTTGGACTCATTTGTTTTTATCTATTTCACATTGCATTTGTGGAATCGGATTTAGAACCACGAGAGTCCAAACTATAGGGCCAATCGTATCCGAAAGGAGCACAAAAAGCAAGCTACAGTTGGCTACTGTTTCTGGAGGATGTGAGTAGAACTTCAAGAGTTTGGAATGATATTTTATCCGTTGCCAAAAGCAACCCCCAGATAGAGAGTTTTTATTTGTTAAATGTTGTTGTTAAGGTTAGGAATAGGACAAGAATTAGATTTTGGACCGATAGGTGGGTTGGGGAGTGCAATGTTTAAAGGATGAATTTCCTAGATTGTTTTTCTTGGCTTCTGAAAAGGATGAATCATTTAGAATGGCTCTGGATAGACGAAGTAGTACAGGAGAATGGGTGTTGTTATTCAGAAGATCTTTACAGGCATGGGAGAAAGTTGAGGTGCTAAGGCTTATGACCATTCTAAATTCATTTCCCTAACCAGTGACAAATCTCGGGGATAGGCTCAGCTGGATTGCCTCCATATCAGGTCAGTTCACGGTGGCTTCTATTTATAATAGATCTAAATGTGATTTTGTATCTATTGTACCCTATTTTATTTGGAAAAACCATCTCCCCAAAAAACCCAATTCTTTGCTTGGTTAGCATGGAAGGGTAGGATTAAAATGGTTGCATATTTGCAAAGAATTGGTATTTTGAGTGTGAATGTTAGTTTTTCTTACATTTTCTATAACTCAGAGGATGAAACAACTGATAATTTACTTTTATTCTGCCCGAGATCTGGAAAGTTTGGTCTAATTTGGTGGATTGTTGGGGTTTGCAATGGGTGATGTCTGGGTCAATCAAGGATCTTTTCAGTTGGTGGTCTGGATTTCGGTTCCCAAAGTTTGTAAGGCAGATGTGGAAATCATTACCTCTGGTTATCTTTTGGACCATTTGGAGATGTAAAAACAAATGTAAGTTTAATGGGGCTCAACCTCAGTTTGATTCCTTGCTGGAGATGATTAAGATTAGGACTGTTCTATGGGCCAAGTATCACTATCCCAGGTATGCATATTTCGGTTCATGACTTGATCCATAATCTTCATCTTATTAGTCATCCTTGATCTAGGGTCTGGGCTACTGCTTGTGTCTCATTGCTATTGTTGTCTTGCTGCTACTGTTTTGTTGTTGCTTATGTTTTGTTGCTATTTAGTCAACTGTGAGATTGGATGCTATAAGCTCTGCTGGTTTTACACTAGATGGGGGATGGCTTTTTGTGTTTTGTTTTCTTTGTTTTTGCTTCTTTTCCCCCCCTTATTCTTCTGTTGATTTCTCACCAACATTGGTCTTTATTGATGTATGATTGTATGCAATCATTTTGATTCTTCATCAATAAAGTTTCTCTTTGCTGATCAAATATATATATACAATATTAATTCATTTATTATTTGTTTTTATCAAGAATACAATTATCATTTAAACAACTTGCATATTATAATATTAATTTATTTATTATTTATTTTGATTCTTACTTATCTGAGTTGCACACGTATCGCATGTTCCACCCACTAGTTATGTAAAAGGTAATTGTTGTTTTTGTAAAGTGAAGGGCAACATAGTCTTTTTACCTCCAATCCTATGGGATTAGATTTCAATGTCACCTTCCTCTGGGATTGCTAGTCCCCTCCTTGGAGCAGTTTCATTATTCCGTTAGACTATTAATCTCATGATAATTTTGCAAAACAAACATGATATTTGGGCCCTACTTCACTATTAATCCAATCTCATTCTTTATCTTTGAAAACAAACATAGCTTTTATTCCAAGCTCAACAAAAAAACAGATTGGAGAATATTTGCACTCCCACAGCCTTTCATTTGCACCACACCACACCACAGACAAACTTGCACCCCATGTGTTTGTAATTTTTTTCTCTTCTTCCCACATGCATATAGTTCTCCACAAAACAAATTAAATTGAAAACAAACGAGGAAATATCACATACATTGAGTTTACATGAGCATATTTGCACAGTCTTTAACTTTAGAGCTCTGATATTAGTTGAAATGCACGAAAGATAAATTATCAAATATATATATTGATCACTTTGAAGATGGAGTGTGAAAAACTAGAACAAATTGAAAAGGAATTTTCTTGTGAATAATCACCCTAGAAACCTCACTCATGTCCAAGTCATCTTCTCCACCTGTGCCACTTGGGAATTTCCAGTCAAACCAACACAAGAGGTTGGCAAGCACATATTCAACTAGCATGACCCCAAATGACTAACTAGGGCCGCCCCTTTGGCCTCCACCAAATGCGATGAAGTTGAAGTCTTGATCTTTAAAATTGAGAGGGTTTGTTAGCAAAGAAAATCCCTCTGAAATGAACTCTTTTGGCTGGCTCCATAATTTCGGATCCCTTTGAATTGCCCATGCATTGATTAACACTCGAGTTTTGGGAGGAATATCATAATCTCCCAATTTAACACCCCCACTATTAATTGATTCTTAACGAAACAAGAAAGGAAGTAGGGGATGTAACCTTAGAGTCCCTTTGACAACACAATTTAAGTAGACCATTTGATCAATATCATCTTCATTGACCTTTGATTTCTTTCCAACTACTCTTCTTACCTCTTCTTGAGCTTTCTTTAACTTGGTTGGATTTTTCATAAGTTGTGTCATTGCCCACTCTAATGTTATTGAAGAAGTATCAACTCCTCGAAGAAACATGTTCTATAATTGGCAAAGACATAAAGTTGCATAGAGTTAAAGACATAAATGGAGTCCCTTATAGTTATCACTTGTAGTCATATTACTATAGACCTTATTTAAGAATTCCTATAAATTGAACTTTGTCCTTGCTATATTCACTAGTAATAATTATTAGAACATGAAGAGAAGTGTGGGTCTGTGTAAGGGATGATTTTAAATATCTGTAGATATGAACGGTAGCCAACATTTTAAATACTAGTAAAGCTCAGATCCTTTATAGTGCTAAGTTTGTAGTGCATTTTGTAGTGCACCAAAAAGACATGCACAACAAAATGTACTACAGGCTTAGAACTACAAGGGATCCGATCTCTACTACGTTGCCAAGTTCCCCATGTGTCTGTTGATACAATTAGGAGAGAGAGAGTGAGAGAGACCAGTAAAATTCCTTTAAGATTGTCTTGTGAGATATCAATCTCTATCTTGCTTTCCTTTTCAAGCTGGAGCAAAATTTTAATGAAGCATTTCTTACTAGGTTGATCATCATTTTCTTTTGAACTCTGATATTTTTCACTCACATCATCAAGGAAAGCATCTAATCCTTGTGAAATGTCTTTCAATCTATTAACTACACCAGCTAGAACATCCATCCATCCAAAAGATGAGAAGAAATCATGGAAGGAATATTATACTAAAAGCTCCGTTTCGGTCTTTGCCAACTGTCCGAATCTTTTCTTATTATTTTCTTCTTCATACTTCCTCCCAAGAAGAGATCTGGATACTATGCTACTCGCAATATCAACGAACATGTCTCCAAGGTTGACAAAATTAGCTCCATCAAGGTTCGCCTTGTTGCGTATTTTCTCAATCATCACTCCAACTTCTTCTAGTCTCACAAAATGAAATGCTTGCACCCTTTTGAGGCTCAAAAGCTCCAAAACACTGATCTTCCTCATTTTCCTCCAATACTTACCATATGGAGCAAGCCCTAAATCAGTGCATCCATACATAATGTATTGGCATCCCTTGTTTGGACTCTATTTGTAAAAGCAATGTCATGAGTCTTCATGATTTGTTTTGCCATCTCTGTAGAGTGGACAACTATAGTTGGAGCACTACCCATGTATACCAATAATATAGTGCCATATTTTCCAGAGAGGGCATGTATGCCATCTTTCTTAAATTTGAGCAGAAACAGGAGGAAGAGGGGGAAGAAGAGGAGGGGGAAGATAAAGGGATTGATTAGTGTTGTTTCATCGAGCACTTGCCGCCATTATTGTTGCAATAGTGGTGTTAGAGCAATAGTGGTGTTAGAGCCATTGTTGTGCACTAATTTTGTATGAAACTAATTGCCTATCATTACTTCAAATTAATACACTACCTATCAACTTATTTTCTTGATTAAATAAGTTAACAAAGGGTTGGCTTTCATTTTTTTTACTTGTACTAATTTGTTATTGTCATCCTCATTAAACCTGAGGTTTAGTTTGTTGGAAAATAATGATTTTTCAGCAACTTTAGTTCAAAATTAACGTGGGACCTAACCGCCGGTTGAGGTAGATCTGAGTGATTTTGTATTCTCTTAAGTGAGAAGATTGCTATACAAAAATAGTGAGCCGAAACCATTGAGTTGTGAATGAGAATTGTCTCATAAAGTGGGCATCAATAAAGTTGGGCTTAGATTTGGACTTAGTCTTAGTTTGGACTGGGCCTAGGCTTGTGCTTGTGCTTGTGCATATGCTGGGTTTCGTCTTGGACTTGGACTTGACTTAATCTTGAGCTTGGGCTAAGCTATGTTGTGTTCGGCTTAGCTTGTGCATGTATTTGAGAATTGGGCTTGGATACGACTGTGACCCAACGTTAGTATCCATTTTGTGACCCATCTAGTTGGTTTATTCAACCATCATTATATACATATTTATTTGTATATATTAAGCATATGTGAGGTTTAGACTTTTGTAACCCTCATCTTTTGATAATTGAGTTGTTGGCCATATTAGTGGCCATAGGTTTCAACCTTTGTAACTCTAGTCCTAATGGCTAGAGTTGATGGCCTTGGTTAATGGCATTTGATGGCTCTATTGATGTATAGCCTTCATGGCTAAAGATTCCCCTACTTGTATAAATAGAGGATTTTGCCCTCCAACTTGGAAAAGAATTTTGTAGAGATTTTTTATGGAAAATAGAGATGGTGTTTTGAGATAAAAAAAAAAGTTGAAGATGTTTTTTTTACACTAAAGAAAATTTCCCCCATCTTCTTTGGCTAGCCCCTTTTTTAGTTCTCGCTAGAGAGATTGTAACCATTGGCAAGTTCGCCGAAACTATTCAAAAGGTGTTTTTGCATTAGCTGGTTTCGACCGTCGTATTCTGGGAGACAGACGCCGACATAACTCTAGCATCCATCAGAAGGCGGTGAATCTATTTTAAGGAAATAGTAGTATCACACAGGTTTCGATTTGGTTCTTTTCTTATCATTTGTTTGTAAATTTTTCAATATTTAGTTTACAAAGATGAGTTCTAATTTTTAGTTATCCATGTTAATAATTTGTTCTATTAGTAATGTAATCTAATTCATTTCTGTATTTTTAGTTGTGTCGTTCATTCTATATTTTATTCTTTTAATAAAAAATTATTTTGTCATTTCGATTTAATTTATTTTATATATTTTTCGTGTATTATTATGGAAAAATACCAACATAGTTTATGTTATGCCACTCAACCACCATAAATGTGATGATTGTCATTTGCAACACGAAGTGATTGTGCGTGGGCTTGCCAAGATAGCAAACAGGGTTGGCCATTCCCCAACCAAAATATACATCAAAAGTGGCCTAAATCAGTGATGAGCTTTGATTTGCATGGGCTTAATTCCTTCCATAGAAAGGATGAAATCCTTAATTGAATATTGGGAAAATGCTAAGCAGTATTTGATGTTGGTATACATGTAATTGTTTTTATATATATTTTATAGAAATATGTAAAAAAAAAAAAACAAAAATGCATGTTTATATAAAATTGCATAGTATATGTGAAATGTGTGTTTTGATATTATTTGATTTTAACCAATGCTCAATGGACAAACATTAGTAAGACTTTTATTAAATTAGTGCTCAAGGTACTATTATTTTAGGTATGGAATTCTCTATCTTTAATTTTTTTTTTTTAATCGGGCGGAAGTTAGTTGTTAGATTAGCATTTAGAGGAAGTTGAACTCACATCCACTTTTTGCTAGCACTTAGATCTTGCCATTTATTTCATCGTCTTGATGTATTTTAAATTATTAAATTATGTTTTTAAGATTTACCTATCTCATAACATTTACATGATTCAACAGTTGAGAGTAGGGGAGCCAAAAAATTTATTCAAAAGAGATCATTCTAATGTTGGAGAGATTATTTATATGGTTTGATCTCACAACGCTTAGGTAGCCTTAGGGACAAGCTAAGTATAAAACAAATGATAAAATAAATTTCTTACAAAAGAAATTTAAAAAGAAAAATACTATCACTACAAGAAATTTTTAGTCGCCAAAAGTCAGATTTTAGTTGCCGAAATTTTTTTCAGACTAAATAGTTTGGTTGCCGGCTTGGTCGCGGGAAGATTGTCGGGGAAGATATTGGCGACTAAAAAAAATTTAATCGCCGAAAGTCCTAAATTGGCGACTAAACAATTAGTCGCCAAAAGAAAAGGTATTGGTGACAAAAAAACATTAGTCGTTGATAGGCTAAATTGGCAACTAATTTTTTAGTCGGCAAAAGCTTTCAAAAAAAATTAATATTGTATTTTCAGCGACTAAAACATTTAGTCGCTGAAACTAAAATTATGTAGGACGACTAATTTATTTAGTAGCCATATTTTTTTTTAGCTACTAAATGTTTTAGTCGCCTAAAGTCTATTTTTTTTTATTTGGCTACTAAAATTTTAGTCGCTAAATTTTTTTTTTCATCTTATTTTTTTAGCTACTATAACTATTTAGTTGCTAAAAATATTTACTTTCTTTCTGGCTACCAATTATTTAGTGGCCAAAAACATGATATTATTTTTTTACAAAAATTTGTCCATAACCTGTATGTATTCCGTGCAACCTATACTATGTATATAAATAAAACAATACATATATTATCAATCATTTCGCGATTTGCATCCCTTTCACTTCCAACCATCCAAAAAGGAATAACTTTTAATGTCAAATTTCATACAAACTAAGTATATTCCAATCTAAAATAATAATTCCATACAAAACAAAGAATCATACGAAAACCATTATATTCATATAGACTCTGGGGATGATAGTGAACTTTTGAAAAGTTAATGGACGTTGACAAGCCCACATTTGAAATCCTATACATGTAGGTTTTTCCTGAAAAGAGAAAGAAAGTGAACCATTGTTAATCAAATCCTTCTTCTTCTTTTTCAACAGGATTAAAATACTTCGAAATTGTTTAAACATTTTCCAATAATAAAATGATGGGGCGGACCTTGATCACCACTAAAGGTGGATTAAGTTTTCCCATTTATAAGGATGCCATCAGGAAAAGGAAGAGGTTTCCCTAAATCCAAAAATTGCTGCAATGCCTACAAACATCAAGACTTGGAAAATTAATTATAATTTATTGAAAACCATTAGAGCATGACAAGCATGTAAATTTCATGCAGGCACCGTTCTTCTAGTCACATTTCAAAGTAAATTGACTCACTAGTATTAGAAAAGGAGACAGACTTTGGGATAATATTTTCATTATCTTTTAAAAAAAAAAAAAAATTGTTGAATTGGTTTTAGAACACAAACATTATCTAAAATAATGTATTCCTACAATTTCTCAGCAAGCAAACATATCTTATAACAATAGAGCACTAAGTGTTTCTTTTTCTTTTTTTTTTGGTTCAATTTTCCAAAAAACAAAAAATTTAACCCAAAGATAAAGAAGTACATAAAACATCAAATTACCTAATAAACTTCAACAATATAGCGATATCGGTTTTGACTAGACTCTTGTTGCATTCTGGACTCGGGCTTATAGTTTCTGAATGTTGTTCATTATCGTTTTTCCCCCTTAATCCCCCTTAATTTTGGTTTTGGATGGTAGTTGTGTGTTTCGAATAGGCTGGTTGCTTGTTTTTCCAAATCTTTGTTGCCCAGATTTTTGCTCCTCCGCTCGAGCAGGCTTTGTAAATTTTGCTCCTCCGTTAGAGCACAACTTCTCACGCTCGAGCAGGTTTTGTGTACTCTCAGTACTTTGTAGGTCTGCAAAACTACTGGAAGAGTGTTTTATGCGCTCGAATGGGTAGGCACTCGAGCGGCCTTCCTTGCACTCGAGCGTTGGTCTATTGTCTGCAAAACTTCTGGATGTGTGTTTTCTACGCTCGAGCATCACTTCTTGCACTCGAGTTGTAAGTGTCTTGTTCATTATGTCTTGGCGCTCGAGCAGTCTTTCTTGCGCTCGAGCGAAACAACTTTTTGTGTCTGACGCTCGAGCGTCAACTCTTGAGCTCGAGCGGACTGTGCGTATATCAGATCGCAAAAATGACTTTTTACATAACTTTTTTAGATCTTTTCTCCCTAAAACCTAAGTTGGGACCCCCTCTCTCTTAAACACACTCTCTCTACATTTTTACCTAGTTTTAGTGATTTCTTCACCCAAATTCCTTT